AGCTCCAGTACAATGTTAAATAAAAGTGGTGATAATGAACACTAAAAAAGGTGACAATGGGCATTCTTCTCTTAACTATGATCATAAGAGGGAAAATATTCTTCTATTACTAAGGATTATTTTAGCTGTAGATTTTTTTATACATACCCTTCATAGTTTGAGAATGTTATGTACTTTTCTAGGTAACTCTTCTTTGTGAGTTTTTACCATAAATATATGTTGAATTTTGTCAGATAATTTTAATGTAATCACTGGCTTTGTTTTTAGCTTTTTAATATGGCTAATTACACTGATTTTTTTTTCAGTGTTAAACTAAACTTGCATTCCTGAAATAAATCCCACTTAACTTGATGTACTATTCTTTCTCTTCTTTTTTACATTGTTAAATTGGATTTGCTGAAATTTTGTGAAGGATCTTTGCTGTCTCTGTGAGGAATAGTGATGCATAATTTTTTTTCTGGGATGTGAATTTGTTCATGAGATTTTATTGTTAGTATATGTTGACCTAATAAAAATAAGTTCAGTAATGTTTCCCTTCTCCTCCTTGCATAAATTTCTGAAAAAAAAATTTATGCAAGATTGGTGCTATTTTGACCTAGAAAGAGTAAGAGAATTCACCAATGAAACCACCTGGGTTTGGGGGTTTCTTTTGGGGAAAGATTTTACTAACAAATTCAATTTCTTGATTAGATACAGGGTTATTCAGATTTTCTGTTTCTTCTTTTGTCAACTTTGATACATTGTATTTTTAGGAAATGTATCCATTTCATGTGACAGCAATTTTTTTTTTTACCTTAGTTTCTTCATAGCAGCCTTTTTTTAAAAAAGATTTTATTTATTTATTCATGAGAGACAGGGAGAGAGAGAGTGAGGGAGAAGCAGGCTTCTCACAGGAAGCCTGATGTGGGACTTTATCCTGGGACTCTGGGATCACGTCCTGAGCTGAAGGCAGACGCTCAACCGCTGAGCCACCCGGGTGTCTCATAATTTTTGCTTTAAACCCACTTATGTATTCTAAAGAATTTAAGAGGGAAAAGAAACAGTCTTACATATTTACTCCTATATTTACTGTATACCATTCCTGCATAATCAGTTTTCCCTATTATTATTATTGTCCTTCAAACTGAAGAACTTTATCATTTCTTCTGAAGTGTGTCTTTGGATGATGAATATCTTAGTTTTTGTTCATCTGAAACATCTTTATTTCACTATTATTCCTGAAATATATTTTTCACTGGATACACAATTCTGGGTTGACGACATGGTATTTTGCTGGGGGCTGAACAGACCAAGACAGTCACCCAATTCAGCAGGGAACACAAGGAAGGACTGAACCAAACTCGCTTTACAAACATTGCAGGGAGCAGAACAGATTTTATAACCACCAACTACATCTTTTGCCTGCTTCTCCTCCTAGTTCTGAGGCTTGATGCATTAGCTCACACAGCCTCTCACATTAGGAACTTTATGTAAACTTCTTTTGTTTTTGCCATTTTTCTAACTCCTCTTGTGCCATTCTTCTTGCTAGCCTCAAGAGGTAACCCCAGTAGTAAGACAGCTTTATATCCTGAATATCAGGAAGAACTTCCATCTCTCGCTCTTTTTTTTTTTTTTTTTAACCTAGGCAGTTGAGTCTTCTGTGGCCTTTGTTTACTTTTCACAGTGAAGCAAGATAGAAAAAAAATAAAAGAAATAAGCCAAAAAGTCCTCCCTAAAATGACAGGAGAGTTGGTTGGCCTTTTCTGCTGCACACAGTAGTGAAATGTCAAATTCTGTAGACACTTTCTACTTGAGAAAGTGAGTCTGCAGGCTGTTTCCTGGCAAAGCCATAAGCAATCCAGGAGGCCACAGAGTGAACCTGGTAGGTGTGAGGTCTACACAAGGAGCGGGGAGGCTCCCTCCCCTTCCTGCCTGCCTTCACTTTTTTCCATCAAGATTCTCTTCTCTCCCAGAGCAGCGGACCACCTCCTCCACCAGCAGACACCTAGACCTGCCAACCTATCCCCCAGAGTCTTCCCTTCCTGGGTTCTCAGTGCGTTCAGAGCAGCAGCAGAGCTAAGGACACAGGTATGATATCTCAGCCCTAGTACTCATCCCTGCAGACCCCTCTAAGACTGTTGTTCATAAGAATAAATCTTCATCTTAGAAAGTGTAGAGCTTTCTGCACAGTCCTTTCATAATCAAAATGATAATAATCCTATTAATAACCATTATTTATTGACCACTTTTTGTGTACCAGTCACAGTGCTAAGTACTTGACAAGCATGGATTCATCTGAGTCTTAAAAAACAATTCTGCAACATGTACATTATTGTCATCATTTCACAAATAAGGAAAGTGAGTCTTACACAGGGATTCTTAACTATCCACTACCCAATGGTGAGCAGTGAGGGCTCTACATATATCCTGGGAACTGACTCCAAGATGTAAGTAAGGCCTTTGCAAGATTCTGATGGAGAAATCAAGCCAAATTCTTTGGACTCACTTCTACATGCAGACTCACTTGTACATCCCATAATTGTGCTATTAAGAATAACTACTATTTGGTTTCCTAAACTAAAATTAGCTCATTGCTGGAGTTTATCACATACCCTAATTTAATATTTTACTGAAAGGTAGGTGGCTTGGCAATGTTGTATTGGTTCCACTGTCCCTGAGCATGTACAGAGTTGGGAGACCCATAATTTTCACAACTCTCCATTATCAGGTGTCATTGTCTTTGTCTTGAATTGGCAATCAATTTCTATTACTGTTTTCTTGCTCTTGAATGATACCTTACTGTATTTCAGCTTTCTATATAATTTGTTGTGGGCTCTCCTCTTAACCCTATAGTAAGTGGTGAGGCATATTGACATGTTTTCACCATTATTTTCCAAGAACTAGGTTGATGAAATGCATATAACATATTGAGCTAAACCAAATGAAATGATCTACATTCTAACATCTTTTCCTTAGGTGAAGCCATATTAAATAGACTATATTCAACAATTTTTGACCCAAAAAATGATAGTCTCATATGGTCCAACCTAATAGTTCAAAGATAAATTATTTTTACCTCATTTGCTAGACACTTGTATGTGTAATTCCCTCCAAATATGTGTGTACAGTGACACTTTATAGATAATACTCTGCCTATGAATTTGTGTTCTCTAAATAACATGCAACATACTATTATTATATGTGTATATATTATTAACTGTAAGAACATCACTAAGTTATTTTAAGCTTGTATGGTTTTTTTTGTATGATCCAAGATTTGATTGTAGGCTCATATTCTTTCTTGAGTTGTTCATTTATGTTCCTCTTTAGTTCTTTATTGTCATTTGATTCCTTTTTCACTGTGAAGTAGGAATGGATAGGACCTATGGACCTTGGGGTCTTCTGTGCCCTCGTCAAAGAGCTTAAAATACACTACTTTAAGGACTAAGGAGGCTTTTCAAGTCCCACAATCAGTAAGTACGGATTTAGGATTCAGATGCAAGTCAGCTTCCATCACAGATTGGAGGATGTGATACACATTTTGGTAAATGGCATCAGTTATACACTTATGGCTTCCTGAACAAGAAATCCCAGAATTTCTTGACATCTCTTTAGGGAAATTAGGATGCCAACTTTTATTGAATGCCCACTGTATGCCAGTCACCCTTCTCATTATGGTAGGTTGAACCTCATTTACTATCACAACAAACCCCACGAGGTTGGTATCATTAACTTGTACAGATGGAAAAGTATGTTAACAGGCTTGAATACTAACTCTGTATTGTGGAACTGGTAGGTAGGTGGTGAGAGCAGAAAGCAAACTTTTAAATTCATTGATTGTTCACCATACTACCTTTTATTCCCTGCCCCACATATCTTTCTCCTGTCCTCATATTCAAATTATCATGTAATCCTATTGGTTCTACCTATAAAATGACACTAGAATCTGTTTATCTATCATTTTCACTAGTCATGGTCTAAACTATCTCTCCCATGAACACATGAAGCAGTATCCTAACCTCTCTATCTCAGTTCCTATCTGTCCCCTCCATGTGGCCTCCAACCCCCTTCACAATCCTTTAGATAGATCTGATCATGACCTACCTCTTCAGTGGCCCTGCAGTGCTTGCAGGACATAAAAACATGTCACAGTCCAGCTTTCCAACCTACTCTACTGGCCATCTCTGCCAAAATTCCCTATCTCCAGCCATAACCCCACTGACTCCTCCACCCCACCCCACCCCCACACACATACACAATTCCCTCTAACACCCATGACCTTTCCAATCCAACCCCTGGGCTTCCATGCATTTGCTACTCAAGGAACCTAGACAGATTTATAGAGAGAGAGAATAATTTAGACATACACACCCACCAGTTCTCTACCTGGCATAGTCTCTTTCCTTCAAGGCTCCATTCAAATAAATGTCACTGCCTGGGGGAGAGTCATCCCAGACTTTCCCTGGCACTTCATAGCTCCTCCTCTTTGTATCCACAGGATTTTGTACACATTTTTAATTAGAGAGTTTCTGTTGAATGATAGCTAGTTGTTGAAATGTCTTATCTATCTTTCCCACTTGATAATGAGCCCCTAAGGGATAAAGATCATGTCGTATTTATCTTTGGATTGCCAGCATTCAGAAAAGTGCCTGGCATAAGGTCAGCACTCAATAAATGTTCATTAATGTACAAATACCCCCTGTAGTATCTCATGCACATAACAGCATACTGAGTAGCTCTTTGGTACAGCAGATTTAAAATTGAACTGTGAGGAAGAATGCTTGAATTCTAGTCTGGGTTCACCCATCAACTGGCTCTGTCACTGGGGACAGAACTGTTTTGTGTCTCAGTACTATCAACTTGTAAAAGGGGGTAGGAGACCTCTGAGTACCTTTCCAAAGCTCACATCTGTTGATGCAAAGAACTTGACAGCTTATCCCTAAAAATGTCTCTTTCTTACCAGAAGGAAAAGGCCTTAGACATCTTTTTTTTTTTTCCTTAGATATCTTCTAAGGAGAGTCATGGCATACAACCAGGAGCCTCTAGCCGAGACCCCTGTCATCAAATTCAATGGCCAGGACTATAACTCCTTGCTGGATCGTTGCCTAAGCACAGGCCTACCATTTGAAGATGAGACATTCCCTGCAGAGATTTCTTCCATAGGTCTGCAGCTGGTCCAGGGTAAAAACCTCTCCAGCCTGAGGTGGATGCGGCCAAAGGTGAGTGAGCCCCACAGGAACACACCCAGTTCCTGAACCCTCTGAGCTGCCTGCCATGGTACCTCCCACAGAAAAAAGGATGGGCCTGTGACCTGGTTTTTAAGGATGGCCCAAACCAGATGGGAAGGAGAATGAAATGTATCTGGTCCCTCAGCTACAGTGTTGTATCCTCAGTGGGTTGGAAGGACCCTGTACCAGGACTCAGGATCCATGTATTCTAACCCATTTATATAACACTGAGTACATCACTAGATTACATGCTCATGTTCTTATCCGTAAAGTGGGAAACCATGGGTATTAAGATTGTAGTAGTTGGTCTTATCTCCATAACCAAGCCCGTTCGTCAGTCTCCATTACTCTTTATTCTTTTCCTTATCACTGTCCTTATTTTTTTTTCTTTTTTCCCTGTTGGAATTTACTCAAAGGGAAGATAGCATGTCAGTCACTTATTCAATAGGATAAATTTAAATAATTGCCTCACCTCTCTCATTTATATTTCTATTTTCAATCTTGCAAAGGCTTGATCACTAATAAAAGAATTTCAGACAGTAGCTGTAAAATTAGGGAGATATTTTAGGGCAACATTCAAAACCCCCTCCTCCCCTACCTCAGCAGATGGCCACTAATTCAGCCTTGTGGTAAGATGAGCCCTGTTGGTTTTTCTAAACTATATTCATTTCAGGGCATGAAGCCCCAAGAAAAATTTCTCAGCCCACTTAACATTCTCAGAATCTGATCAGGGCTACTACTAATGCAAAGGACACAGGTGAGGACCATTCTCGGGGTCCTAATGCCCAACCCCATGTTCTTTCTGCCAAAAGCAGCCAGCAGAACCTAGAATAAGAGAAAATAATATAATGTCTAGTGAGCTCATTATAATACCGACAAGTGTTATGGAGCACTGATTAAATACCAAGCACTATACTTTCAATAAATTATACAGAATGACATACGACAAAACACTGAATTCTGGAGGTGACAACTCTTGCCCTAACTTGGGACAGATTTGTAGTTTTGGGGAGGAGGGGAGGGTGATTAGGGATCAGGTGGGGCTCAGGATCAGATGGTACATCAGGCTTCTAGGATCCATCTCACCAGTCAGAGGCATTAAATCCCCAGCAATGATTCTCTTCTTCTGGCCTTCTCTCCTATGGAGAGCTGAATAGCAAACTATATAAAGTATGGAAGGGTTATATTTTTCCCTTTGTTATTTTTAGATGCTGAGATTCTTTTAGAAAGTTTTTTTCCAAGGTGCTGACTAATAGATGTGAGACCATATTTCTAGTGTTAAAGAATTTATAACATTTCTATTTAGGAAGGGTTGAGAGTTTCTTACTTTCTGATTCCAGCAACATCTCAAATTTTGTGTTTTGGGGGGCAAGGAGAAACTGAGCCAAATAAGAGTGAGAAGACCTTCACGGAATCCTGCCAGGAACCTGAAAAGGGCAGCCAGAGGCAAATACATCTTACTCTCATTCTTCTTCTCAGCCAAAAGCTGAGACAAATGTCTTCATGTCCTTCATCACAGCACTTATATGTGTATAGTATTTTCCTGAGTTTTCCATGTATTGTCTCTTACTGTGTCTCTTTGTTCTTTCCCAGTTATATTAAGAAGAAAACAGAATCGGGATCCCTGGGTGGCGCAGCGGTTTAGCGCATGCCTTTGGCCCAGGGCGCGATCCTGGAGACCCTGGATCGAATCCCACGTCAGGCTCCCGGTGTATGGAGCCTGCTTCTCCCTCTGCCTATGTCTCTGCCTCTCTCTCTCTCACTGTGTGCCTATCATAAATAAATAAAACAAAAAAATTAAAAAAAAAAAGAAGAAAACAGATTTAGACAGGTGATGGGACTTGCACAAGGTGACAGTTAGAGAAGAATCTGGGATTTAAACTAAGATTCCAGACTCCACATGCTATACTTTTCTTCACATGGGATTTTTGTGCCCAATAGGACTCTTATTTGTATTTGAATGAATGAGTAAGTGAACAGATAGGAATGACTCTATCTACAGGTCCCTGACATGGGTTTCAAGCTCCATATGTACAACTGAGAATCCATAGGTTGACTCATTTAACAAGAAGGGATAGTAGATGAGAAGGCCACTGAACTCACCTCTTCAACATGGTGACATCCTCAACTGCCAAAGCTTATAGTTGTTCCTGAAAAGGGGCTTGGAAGAGGAGCCATGGCCAGTGTGGCTCAATCCTAGTTGTGAAAGCTAACACTTATGTACTACTGACCATATGGCAAGCCTGGCTTTAGAGGCTTTGAATCATTAAATCCTCACAGTAATGCTATGAAGAGGTACTATTATTAACCCCATTTTATAGATGAGAAATAGAAATGGAGACTTATGTAACATGCCCAAAACGGTACAGCTGGGATTTGAGCCCTGGAGTCTGTCTCTAAGACCTGTCCTCCTATCATCACCCTATACTACCTCCTGTCAGGCCTCATCATAAGCTCATGTTGTATTCTTGGCTCCCATTTGCCACAAATATTTTGTTCACCAATAGACTCCTATCAATGTCTATGTTGTGTCTTCCTTTCCATTTTTTAGGTGAAAAAGAATGAGGGTAAAAATGAAATGTTGTATGTGTACCTCGTATGATTATTCTAAGGAATAAATGAAGATAATACTTAGAAGAATGTCTAGAACATTGAAAACACTAGTTATTGCTACTACAATTAATTTGGGGTGGTGGTGGTATAGGATGGCAGCCTCAGAGACTGTCCTTTTGGATTCCTTGGGATGTCACAGTCCAGGCAGCTTGAGTCTTCAGCTAATATCAACAAACACTTTAGGGAAAAATGTAGGTCAGATGAAACCATTTGAGGACCTAGGGGAGCCTAGCAGGGAGTATGAAGTGACTTTCTTCTCACATTCTGCTGCCTGTCACTTCTTTCAGAAGGTTGCCTCTCAATCTAGAGTTTGCCCAGTCACTGTCCAGAGGTCTGGCTGGCACTCCTTTAAAGTTCAACTGTATAATGGCTGAGGTGGCACCAAGGCTTCTGAGGCCATCTTCACATTCTAGGCTTTTCCAAACAGTGGGGACCCTTCATACTCTAGGCAATTGCTAAATCATCATGGATATTGTTCTACTCTAAGTACTCACTCAGGCTTGGTAGATTCACTAATAGCGTAAGAGTCAGAGACCTAAAACTAGACTCAGTTTTCTATGCCTGGTGCAGAAAAGCTGTTTAATGCCCCATAATGTTCTCTCTCTAACTCTCTGTTTCTCCTTTTCTCCCTCTCTCTAACAATCAACCTAATCCATGTTGCTGCTGGAACTTTGAAATAGAAGCTCTTTCATATCCTGCTTCATTCAGCTTTCAGCTTCTCTTTAAGAAATTTCTAACCTACTCCTGACACTCTCCCCGTTGGCAGGCAATCAGGTTCTGGAACAGCCTATGACCCTGCCATGAGTAAATGGCGCTGATGGGACCCAACTCCTCATTAGCCTCAGCACTGCCTGCAACCCCCCATGTCAGCAAGAGACAATGCTGAGAATTAGACTTGTACATGGAGTATCTATGATATTTCCCTGAATGAAAGTTGGTGTTAGAATGACTTCCTTTTAAAATTTTAATTTCATAAATAATAAATCCAATTTATCAAGTATGTACATGCATTAAGTATGACTCTAAGCACTTTACATACATTTCATTTAATGACCATAATAGTCCTTTGAGGCAGATGATATTACCCTTGTTCAATAGATGAGCACTGTACATAGAGTTTCCATGATAGCTAAAAGACTCTTTTGGTACCATCTAGTAGAGTAGCCATGGGTCATATGTGGCTATTGGGTGCTTAGAAATATGGCTAGTACAACTGAAGGATTAAAGTTTTATTTAAAGCAGCCACGTACGACTTGTGGCTACCATATCGAACAGCATAGAATTATAGACACAGATCTTCATAGCAGAGTCACCAACATATATCAGATTGAGAGACTGCAGTTTCATCTTTGCTCCCATTCTTTCATGAAAAACCTTTCACTTCTCAACTGAATAATGGGCTGTGGACCCAAAACATGTTGTCTGATGGGTACCCGAAGCTCAGAACGCAGCCCCTTTTGAGTTCTGGCCTCTGGCCATCCCAGAATAAATTATTGCCTACCCAAGTAACAACTTTTCATCTTTTAAGTAGCCAGGGTGGAGTTTCTGAAAAGATCATTTACCAGAAATGGTTCGCCTTGGAACCAAAATGAGTTCTTCAGAAAATGAAGGGGTTAACAAAAGAGACCTATGAATGTAGTTTACAAAGCCAACAGGTAACAAAGTGACAAAAGGATCATGCCAGGACCAAATTTCATTGAGCCAAAGAACTTTGACGCCAATAAAACAAAGCTCTCTAGCAAAAATAGAAAGAGAATGACCCTGCCACCTGGCCCAGCCTGAACTCTGGCCACCCTCTGAAAGATTTATTTAGCCTGTGTCTGAATGCCAAGATACTAAACCTGGTGTTCCCTCATCTAAGAGCAGCACACCATCTGGGATAGTGCATTAGCAGTCTTTGATGAATGCAAGAATCACTCCAAAATATACTAAGTGATGTGGCATAGGAAGAGCCCTCTCCAGAAGCAATTGCAGGAGAGTGCCTGGTTGGGTTCCACTTAAGAGAGAGTATTTTCTAAGATTCCAGGGGATCTTGCATTTCATGTGCTTTTAATAGAGCTAATATAATACAGATTGCCCCCAAAGTTTGCCTTGAGACAGGACTTCACAATGCAGAAGTTGCTAAGATTACTTAGTGTGACTATTGCTAATGGCTTCTGCATTAGGGTTCTCCACAGAAACAGAAACCATAGAGTATATATATATATATATATACACGTGTGGGTGTGTGTGTATGTGTGTGTCTACATCTATCTTTTCTATATCTATATATCCCGTAGGATATAACCAGTAAGAAATATATAGATTTCGCCTCTTCGTGTATTTATTGTGAGGAATTGACTCACGTGATTTTGGAGGCTGAGAAGTCCCACACTGCT